CCATGAATAATTGCTCTTTGCTCTTCTTCCAATTTCCAAGGATAATGCTAGACTCTGCACTGTGAATTTCCAGTTTGATTCATCCAACCATACTGTGGCTGTTGTGGTTGATCTATGGTCTGAAGCTTAATGCGCCTAGTAGTTTTGTTTCCTAAAACAGACTTAGTGAAGTTTGTGACCATGTTTGGTTTGTTCCAAAGTGGTTGCCATATATTTAATGAGGTTGTGAACATATACTATGATTTGTACATGGCTCGTCAAATAAAATACATCTTCAACTCACTTTTCACTTCAGTGCGTGGTTTGGAGTGGGCTGTTTTACAAGCACATGTGTTTATCATATGAATTTATTTGGGGACAAACATCACTTCTTACTTTAGGGATACTGTTTCTAAATAGCTGAATGCTCTGCTCATCTCTTCTTATTCAAGACCAAATGTTAAGGTTGGTAGGCCTTTCCTTCTTTCTTTTTTGTAGGTTTTTCTTAATGCCATGGTGATATATATATATATATATATATATATATATCCAACTAGCACAATAGAACAATTTTAATAAAAGCCTTTTTCATTCAGAAATGCACATAACTCATAACTTCCATGTGCCATAGGGAGTGGGGTGCCTTTATCAGTCATATACATTTGGGGGGGCTGGGTGATCCTCAGTTTTTGTAGCAGACAAGGAGTCAGAAGCTCTTGATCTCCTTTAAGCTTCAATGTCTGGGATATTCAGTAAATCACTTTGCATGAAAATATCTTAGCACAACAAAAGCAGGCATTGTGACTAATACTGAGAATAACTATAGATTTTGTTTTTCTTTAAATCTCTGTCATACAAAAGAAAGCAACAAAGGAGGTCTTTTTTACTAAATGAACCTTGGCGAGGGCTTGAATGACTCATCCAATACCTTCTAGTTTACTATATAATGTAATAAATTATATTCGATGAATAAAGCCAGGTAGATAAAATGACTTTCAATTGGTAATTCAGATCCAATGCAATGAATCAGAACATTCCAAAGAGTTTGTTTCCCGTAATTGTAGGAGATAAAATTGATTTTCCCATTTTTTCCTCACATTTTCCTCCTTCCCCTCCCAGGTGTTTTTCACAGTTATGGATGGTAAAAGAAAACTAGGAAAAAATTGTTATAAAATCTAAAACTCCATAAACCTAATGTGCTTCACATAAAGAAACACGGAGCTGGTAGTCTGTATGAAATTCTTATGTGGCAAGAGCAATGTCTGAAATGGAGATGACACAACCTGTCTTGAAGCAGCAGCCTCTACCTGAGCACATTTGGAAGCTGCTGGTGCTCCTCAATGCAATTTAGATGATATTGAAAAGGGCTAATGTGGTCCTTTCTGCCTGCCTTTGCTGTGGGGCAAGGCTTTGTTCAGTGTATGAGGCATGCAGGGCCTAAGGATCAAGGATGTGGCTGGCACCACCAGTGTGCTGAGTGAGATCAGATCCTGGTAATTTATGTTGGATTGAGCAAATGATGCCAACAGAAAATATCAAGCACCAGGTACAATTCTTGCAATTATAAAGTTGTACAATTTTTAAAATGGGATAGAGCTGGGAAGATAGCTCAGCCATCTAAGCATCTGCCAGACAAGTACAAGGATCCAAATTTGATCCTTGGTACTACATGCTGAGCCAGCCCCAGAGACCCAGGCATGCTGTGCTGGCCCTGAAACCAGCATGGTGGTGGTGTATGCCTGTAATCCCAGCTTTGGGGAGGCTGAGTCAGGAGGATCACTATGAATTTGAATTACATAATGAGACTCTGCAGCAAATAAATAAATACAATTTTAAAAAGAAATTAAAATGTGATAAATTTTTAAACCTATAGGACTTTGAATAAATTTACCAGAATATCTCACTTTGCATTTAGCTATGGAAAACATTATACTTACATAATGATATATTGTAATTATATATGTGTATATGGGTATGGCTTTCCTTCCACTTTTGTTGTGTATGTATGTTTATAAGAGTCTTCTTATTAAGTTTCTCTAAGAATCTGATACATCCCAGAGCCAAGAAAGAACCTTGCAAAGCAGAGTAGAAAGATGAAAGACTTTTCAATGTGTGAAAAATTATTTTGAGTCTTAATTGTTATAATATATTGGTCTAAATGAACCATAGTGATAGATTCACATACTAAATTAGGATTAAGTGAGAAAAGAAATATATTTAAGCTTGTTCTGATTCTTAAAATATGACTCAATTAAAACCTTGTGTAATAAAGATGAGTGCATTAGTTAAGGCTGCCTACGGGAAAGACTGATTTGTTTTCTGGCTATTAATGAAGGCTTTATGAGACTATTTACTCCTGTATGAAATAAAAAGAAGCACTCCCACAGCAACCCTAAAAATGAATTTTAATATTATTTTTCTTTTTTCTTACTGAGGACTTAACGTATACCCCATATTTCTCTATTAAGTGATATAAAACAGAGTTTGGGAAATTTTTTTGGTACTGTAATTTAATCCACATTTCCTTTCAAAGTTGATTTCATCTACTCAGAAACCGTAATTTACATTTAAAGTGCTGAATCTAAGCTAATTTCCCATCTTAAAATTGAATTTTAAATAAATTAAGCAATACCTAATAGGTTGCCTGACATGGCTCCTGGTGGATGATGCTTTAGCTGGCCTGAAGAGCCCAACTTGGCTGGGATGGATACCTGTCTTTAAACATGTGTGGTGGACAAGCTCCTTCTAATGCATCTGATGTGGCCATTGGCTTGCAGGCTGTACTTAGAAAAAGGATTGTGGAGAAATGGTTCTCTCTCCCTCTCTGTCTCTGCCTCTGTATCTCTGTTTCTCTCTCTCTCTCTCTCTCTCTCTCGCACGCATGCACGCACACACACACACACACACACACCATGATGATTCAGAAAGACAGCACAAATCTTGTTAGGCTGAGCTGCAACACTGCAAGAAAACTGCTTCCTAGTCAGCGATGATACTATGGTCTGCAGCAGATAAAGTCCTTACATGTAGTGAAGGAAAAAGAATCTATAAGGTTCAATGTTTAAGCCTGTTTTTGTTTTTGAATGGAAAATTAATGAAATGGTAAAAGCAGTATTAACATGAAGTATGTACTCAAAAATGTTCACATTCCTGTGGCACTGTGTGAAAAAGCAGCTCTGAAAGCGAACAAAACAAGCAAAAACCCCAAACCAAACCACACCCAAGCAAAAACCCAAAACTCTTCCCTTTTAAACCTCACTTTCTAGTACAGTTATGATTTAGGATAAAAAAGAGGATGTTAACATCTCTGTAGACCTGCTGCTGCTTAGTACCATGCTCTGCAGCCCTTCATGGTCTAGGTCTAAATTAGTTACTAGATACAGTAGGCGGTGAAGCTGATGGGAACAGCATAGCGTTAATTGGCAATGGACTCTGTTTTACTTATCCAGGAATGTTACATTTTTAATTTGAAGATCAAGTGGATCTTTTAGTTTGAAAGTCACACTAATTTATTTCTGTTTTTATATTTTAAATAAAAAACTTGTTATTAAAGGAGACGATTTTTATTTCTCTTATTACATACTTGATCTTTTCTAAAAATATTGCTAACAAAATCTTGAGATTCAGTGTTATTTATTTGAAATTGCTTATTCAAGGTATTCTTTCCATTATGATTTTATATAAAGATGATACACACATATTATATATATTAATCATTTCATAATGACATATGATAGTAGTATAAATAAAATGATCTTCCTTTTTTATTCTGTATTTTAGGGAAGGGTCTACAGGGTGTTCAGGGTCTTACTACTAGATTGAACTCATAGTGATTCTCCTATTTACAGCCTCCCGAGTGCTGGGATTACAGCTGTAAGCCACCACGCCCAGTCTCAATCACTGTCTCAGTGTGCCCCGGGTTGGGGCCTGCACAGCAGGCCGGGGGATCCAACCTCTAGCCCCTGTACCTGCTTGCAGGTGCTTTAATCTGCTGAGCTATTTGGCCAGCCCTATGATCCTTCTAAATGCATCTCCTACACCATTTTTTTGTCAGTGGATTTATTATTGTTCCTTATATATATGATTCTTATTTTGTAGATATGTTAAAATGTGGTTCAAGAGTAATTTTTTTTTTAAACTAGGAGATTTCACTCAAGTTCTGAGCCCTTTTCAAAAGACTTAGATTTTGCTATCATTCTGGGCCACTCAAACCCTGGAGTGAGATGAATCAAGGACCTGTCTCAGAAATTCCACCATTAATTATCATCTACTTAGGAATTTCTGGAGGAGACCAAATGAGATTTATGTCAAGTAAGATTTTTTTTTCCCCACAAAATCCAGTCCTCAAATGGAGAATTCTGGTGGGAACCTGTCCATCTGGATTGTAGAATGGAAAAGGTTTATGAGAAGAGAATGGCGACTTCTCATGGGTGAGAATTTCTTGCGAAAGAATCAACAAAGTGTTTAGAGAGGACATAACTATTACTAGAGGTCCTATAATTAAAGGAGTTCTACACTGATGGATTTGAGAAGTGGTTGAGATAGAGGTGGCTTCTTTGGTCAGTCCTAAATATGTAGATCAGTTTGATGTAGAAAGACAAAAATCCCCACAATGTCACCAATTTTAGAGGGTATTCTATGAAAATACATGAAAGATGTCAAAGAATCAATAGGGTCTTTTGATAAACTTATATGAAACTAATGGCTCAAGGAGTTAAAAACTAAATGGCAGGTAATTATCACAGGGTAACATTGGAAAAACTATTACAAAAACACGATGCATATGGGGCTTGGTTAAGTAGTTGGTAGGAATGATCAAGCAGTTGGTAGGAAATGCTGCCTAGATGTTACCATAGAGGTTTTTTTTTTTTTTTGTTTTTGTTTTTTTTTGTTTTTTTTTTTTGTATTTAGTATAGGATCAACAGGGTCTACAGGGTTACCATAGAGTTTCAATGTTCATTAATATATTAATGAAATTTAAAATGTTATTTAAATTTGTCCAAACTTGTTTTGCCTCATAGCTTTCTTAATGAAGAGGATCACAAGATAATTCTAATTTAAGGTAATACAACCAAATACCAGCTACTAAGTGCTAAGTTTATAAATACTAAATGAATACAAGAAAAAGGAAGAATGACTTTAGTTTTGATTTATTAATTTTTTATTGTTAGTAATTTTTTTGAAATACTAACAACAAATATACATTGAATATTTACTCACTTTTAGAAATTCTTAGTGTTTTTCATTGTTTGATTTAATATTTACTTTATCCTTCTAAATGCAATGATTATAAATGAGAAAATGAAAATAGAGTTTAAATGATATAGCCTTGCCATGCAGCAAGTTGATTACAGTACATTAGAAAACAATACCTTAAACTATTTACATTTTTTTTTTTTTTTCAGAACTGGGGATTGAACTCAGGTCCGTGCACTTGCCAGGGAAGCGCTTATTCCACTGAGTCATCTTCCCGGCCCCTCTATTTACATTTAACACGAACAAAAGCAATGTATTAAGTCCAATGCTAACATTTTATTTCTTATTTTTATTTTATTTTGTTTTTTACGTATTTAGTACAGGGTCAACAGGGTCTCTACACAGATTGGACTCATAGTGATCCTCCTGTTTTCAGCCTCCCAAGCACTGGGATTACAAGCGCACACCACCTCACCCAGTCTCAATCACAGCCTCAGCATGCCCTGGGTGCGGGGCCTGGATGGGGCAGTGTGCTGGGGATTGAGACTGGGTCCCTGTGCCTGCCTAAGCAGGCGCTTTAGTTCAGTGAGCTGCCTGTTGGCCCAAATATTGACATTTTAAGTAACCAAAGAATTAAATTCTTTTTTTCATTTTATTGATGAAAGAACTATCCTAACTTAAGCTCTTTGTGTACACGGTTAACAAAAACAAGTGTCCATGACTTGCTGAAATAAGGAAAACAGATAAAAATCTCACCATGTATTTGGAAAAGGAGACTATATTGTCTGGGTTGTTTCACCCCTTTTGGGACAGAGAGTGCTCCCTCTCTTGCCCGAGGAAATGAAATTGGACTTGACTTCCGGAATATGTGTATATTCTGTCCTTGTCTTGGCTGAGGCCAGGCCCGGCCCAATTGTTTATTTGGGAGGGTCGTTATTATTCAGCCCATAGAACAAACATAACTGAATACTTGCTGTCTAAAAAGAAATGGTGTTCTTAAAATAAATATAACCTGGATTTATAAAGATGATTGCAAACAGTTTTCAAATGTTGACTCCTAATACAACAATTGTAAGGATTCAGTCCATTGGATGAGATGTTGTTTTTAGAAATGATCTGCCTTCTCTGTTCATTCACATCCAATTCAAGAAGTAGGAAATTATTCTGGAATCTGTTTTCTCATTATGGTCTTGATGTGAAATTCATTTCGTGGTTGTTGAGCATCTTGAAAATACAGTGGATGGTTGCAACTGCATATTCCTCTCTAGTGATTTTACTACAACTGTTCAAATAACAGATGATAAATTGTTTTAGATTCCACAGTATTTGTTTTATATTAGAGTACATATTATTTATTTTATTTTGCATATATATTAGTAATATTGAACTTAGTGTTTTCAACAAGAGTTACATTTTAGAATATAAAAATAGTATACTAAAACTCTATAAAATGCGGGTAACAGAAATATAAATATTCATAAAAAGACATATGGTTCATATTTATAATAGAATAAATAAGATTGCTATATTTTTGCTCTGTTTTGTTCTGCATATATCAATTACCATACCTTGAAATAGGTCAAAATAAACTGTTTTAATTTTTATCAGAGCAGAAAATAAATATTTTGAACATTAAATAGAATTGTAAGTTTTAGATTTTCATTTTAAGGTCTTCCACGCTAGTGTTATTAGTCGCTTAGGTTCATCTGTTCTGATTCTTTTGCCAATTGCTGATGAAATCAAAGAAACCATTTATATTGGTAAAAAGGAGAAATGATTTATTCAGCACTAGTTCTGAGGAGACAGAGGAGTTCATTTGCTTCAAATCACCATCTCACTGTGTGGAGGTGTGTTGGAGTCTTTTATAGCAAGAAGCAGTGTTGGAAAGGGGATATAGTGACAAAATAGACACATTGGGTCAGGGAGACAGCTCAGCAGACTAAGCACCTGCTTAGGCAAGTGGAGGGGCCAGGGTCCGATTCCTGGCATCACATGCCTAACCATCCCTGCCCCTAGGCACGCTGAGTAGGCCACCAAGACCAGGAGTGGTGTTGAATGCCTGTAATCCCAGTGCTGAGGAGGCTAAAAGAAGGAAAATTACTTCGAGTCTGAGCTGTTTTGTGAGACCCTGAACCAAATACATAATAAAAAGAAAGGATGAAAGAAAAAAGACATCGGATTGTTTATTGCCTTCTGGGACACAGAGTGCTCACTCTCTTGCCTGAGGAAATGAAAGTGGACTTGACTTCCTGGTTGCAGGACCTGCATATTCTGTCCCACTGTCTTGGCTGAGGGTAGGGGAGGAAGGTAGTTCATATGGTAGGAAGTTTACAGGAGACCTTTGCCTCTAAAGGTCTAACATTTAGAGTTTCATTTTGCAGTGTTCGTTACCCTGGGAGGCAGCTATAATTAATTATTAGAAATATCTTCTTAAATCAAACCCATTTCAAGAAACCAACCAAAAATGAATGCTGCTGAGGCCATGAGGAGAATGGACACTTCTCCATCATTGGCAGCAGGGAAACTGATACCACTGCTGTGGAAATTAATAGGGAGGTTCTCCAAAAAAGTAAAAGAAGAAATTCCATTTGATCCAGATATTCCTCTTCTAGTTATCATCCCCAAAGAGTTAAAGACCTCGTACCACAGTCATGTATGCATATCCGTGTTTATAGCAGCACGTTCATAACAGTGAAAACTTGAAAACAGCCTATATGTCGATCAACAGATGAATGCATAAAAATATGTGCTACGTGTCCTCAGTGGAGTCCCCCTTTGCACACAGAAGGGTATTTGTGGGCAAAGGGTGCACCTGGAGACCACAATGTTAGGGGAAGTGACTAAAACACACAAGCCTAAATATTGCATGGGTTCTGTTTTGTGAAAAACTCAAGCATAAAATACGAGATAAAAGACAGTTGGAAAAATGATAAAGAAAAAAAGGAAGGTATTATAATTCAGCATGGACAATTTGTATAAAAGTGTACCTTTAAACAATTTGTTTTTATTTGTTCTTTGGCTTATTAGTCTGGTTTTCAATCTGTATATGTGATAAATAACTTTATAAGGTCTTATAAATAAATGAAGCTGATGCTGAAAGGTGTAAGGGAGTCAAGGGAGCGAGGGAAAATCCCACAAAATTGAAATGTTATGTATGTATATGATATATACACATACATAACAATGTGTATATATACCAATTCCTTGCACAGAATTATGCTATTATGTATCTCAAACATATACTAATAAGTCAAAAAAGAAAAAACAAAACAAAAAGTCAAATCAAATACATTCCAAGAAAATCTGATTTATTTTCACAGGTACTATTTCTTCCAAAATTTGAGAAGGTCTTAGAAGTTACTTTACTTTATGTTTTAAAAGACATGTCTTAACACTTGGCAAAAACTTTGCTTATACTTCTTAGAGCTTTCCCCATCTAAGTTGTGAATTTTCTTAGTGCAGAATCTAAGTTACATAAAGCTGATGCTTTAAGGAATTATTTCTGACTTCACTGACATGGACATAGCTGCAGAATAATTTATTTTGGGTCTGCTTAGCATTACTTGAATGTAAAATTCAGGAATAAGATGGATTAAATACTCACATCTATCTTGTCCTGAAAATATAAGTTTTGAAATATATTTTAAACTGTTTTCCAAATAATTAAAGCAATGTAGTATACAGATGAATATATATTTATTTTACATATATGTATATATATATTTCTGTTAGAAATACACACATGTGCACGTACACACACACACACACACACACACACACACAAAATGCTTCTAAGTATTTGACAATGCATTTACTTTTAGCCCTGAAGGAAAGAAGACTGCCTGGCTGACACTCCTGATATTCCATGGAACACTTTGGTTTACAAGCCCTCTTGGTCTCTAGTGCCAAACTATGGAGTTCTCACCTTCCACTGGCCTGCTTAACAGAAACGGTGAAGGTTTCCCTTTCAGATTTAAAGATAGTCCTAGATTCACCGAGGCAGAAACAGACAGTTAGAAAGCCAGAGTGAGAATAAGAGTGCTTGAATGAATGTTTTTAGAAAACTGGGTTAAAAAAATAACTACTGATTGCTTATACATGAAGGCCAGCATGTGGGTTTGAACATGGAACATACAAGGAGGAGTTTTATGAAATGTACTTATATAAACATCATATAAAATGAAATAAGTGCCCTGGCAAGCGCAAGGGTCTGAGTTCAATCCCCTGTTCCACCAAAAAAAAAAAAAAACAAAAACAAAAACAAAAACAAAAAAAATGAAATAAGTGGTTTTCCAGTTAGCAAATGCAATAAATGAACAATGAGATAATAGGGTGCAACTGTTCCCCTGACTTTTGTTGCTGTTCATGTAATAGTAAAAGGTACAGAATGCTGAGAGGAAAGATGAAGTCCTGGGGAAACAGTCAGCATGTGTTGTCATCCTTGCTTGCACAGATGTAAACTAAGGATCACAGGCTAGAATGCATGCAGAAGACAGTACCACGAGGGTATGGTTCTGGGATAAGAACTCCATCAGCTGAAAGAAATGAGGCTGCTTTGGCTAAGAAGAGAAGGTGTGACCCTTTAGAGCAGTGATGGTCAAGTTTTTAGAGGTTGAGCTTTTATGGATCGCAAAATGCCAGCACTGCAATTAAACCTGAATACTGAGGTTTTAGTTTAGAAAAAACAACGCATAAGCTAATGTCTTTTGTCTTAAAAAAAAAAGAAATAACACCCATGCCACAGGTTTACCCCTCTGCTCTGGCAGGCTAAGCAAGCAGTAGGAATACCAGCAATGGGCTGTGGAGATGTACATTGTGCCACTGCACAGAACAGTGTTTTCCCAGTCACTATCACCTTTCACCAATGGGCTAGTTTGTCTTAAAGGAGGCTATCAATATGTGTTACTAGCAATCTTAAATATAACACTTACCATTTCTTTTCTTTTTTGTAGACTCCATGATGAAGAAGATGTGGTTTGAACATAGCAACACAATATGACTACAATAGGACTGAATACCAGTGGCCAACAGCACTATTCTGCATTTTCTTATCTGGATATAGCGTAATCAGAGAAAGGAGGCAGGATAAAACCACCTTGGCTTTTGTGTGAGACAGTGACTAAAGAGAAAGTCTGCTTTGGTTGCAGAATATAAGGTTTATTGAATAAAGATACTCAGGGGTGGTGCCTCAGCTGTCATGTGCCAAGTCAAGGCACTTTACTTCAGTCTCCATGTAGATCTTTCTGTTATAAGAAGGTGACCCATAAGTTCTTTCAAGTGTCATTGCTGAATGTTTTGGCTATGATTGTGGTTTTCTTTTATAAAGCCTGAGGTTCCTCGGTGATAAAGTGATTTGCCGAGGTTCTCAAGAAATACACTTGCAGCTGTGCAAAGGTCACTATTGTCACTGGATGCTTTTCCTGTTTGATTATCCATCTTTCTCCATTTCATGTTAGCCTGCGACTATGTTCTAGTTCTTTAAAGCACTATGTAAATCGAAGCAGTAAACTCAACTTTTATTTTTACTAGATATCATGTAAATTAGGTCAAATAGCCGTAGGAATTTTATTAGTCCCGTCATGCCTAATTATGACTTTCTCGGACCCTGTGAGCAGCATTCAATTGCTCCTTTCAGCACTGATTTTTCTCAAGCTTTTGTTCATGACATGTAAACAACTCTCACATCTCTCCTTTTACTGAGGTAGAATGCTATGTAATTACAGAAGGCTTTGGTTCCCCGATTCCTAATGCCATATCTTTTCAAAGTCTGTTGGAATCAAGTTGATTATATATATATAATAAGGGGAACCTTCCTAGCTCTTCTTCTTTCCCTCTCTTGATTAGTTAGTCCTTGAGATCCTGCTTTCCTTTTACTTACTATAAAAACTTGCAGAAATGGCACTTAAAAAATTACACTGGCCATTTAAATTCACCTTCACTGATGGTAAGAAATTATACAAAGAGCACTCTGAAAAAGGTAGAACATTTAGCTCACAGGATTTGGTTTTACAAACACTAATAACACTTCTGAAAACATCATTAGACTCTGTATTCCATTTGTTCTGAAATATACATTTCTTCCTTTTAAAGAAACCTTCGTATAGTCTCATTTTTAATGTTTAAGCTGAAGGAACTTTCATGAGGTCCCACAGATATTCTGATTTCAAAGCTTCTTGTTCATAAAATTATTTCTGGTATTTACATTATATTCTTCTTTATTCAATTGTTTTATACTATCTTAGAGAATTAATTTCTACCACTTCCCATTTAAGTCATTGTAGGCAATCTCAGTATTTCCTCCTCCATAAGCACATACTTGTTTCACTATTTATTTATTTATTTATTTATTTATTTATTTATTTATTTATTTTTTGGTAGGACAGTTTCAATAAATAACACATTGCATACATTCTTCCTAGTGGTTAATTACTGTACAAGATGCGGACATGATATCCTATTTAGAAACACCATTAGAACAAATCCCTCTATTCATTAAGAGAATGTAACTATATATCTATCCTAACCACTTTGAATACACAGATACAAAATGGACATTCATCTGTATACCCTTTTTTTGTTAAGTTCCGTTATTTGAATATTATAGGTGTGTATGGCAGGGTTTCCTAGCTCTTCTTCTTTCCCTCTCTTGATTAGTTAGTCCTTGAGATCCTGCTTTCCTTTTACTTGTATTATACCTTTCTATTTGTATTTCTTCTTTTGAGTTCTTATACTAGGGAAACTATTCGATATTTACACATATGTGTCTTGTTTATTTCACTTATGAGTATATCTTCAAGTAGCATCCACTTCAATATAAAGACTTCGAGTTTATCATTCTTCATAGTTGAATAATACTCCATTGTGTAAAATTACCACATCTTTTTCAACCATTCCTCAGGTGATGGGCATCTTGGTTGTTTCCAAGATTTGGCTATCACAAATTGTGCTGCTATAAACATAGGCACACATATATCCCTATGATATGATGTTTTCAGATTCTCTGGGAAGATTCCCAGTAGAGGAATAGCTGGTTTAAATGGGATTTCCAGTCCTGGAAATCAGTGTAGAGACTCCTTCAAAAAGTTGGACTGGAAATCCCATTTGTTTCACTATTTAAATTTACAGAATATCTTGGCTGTGGAGGTAGCTCAGCAGTTGAAAAGCACCTGCCTAGAAAATACAAAGACCCGGATTCAATCCCTGGAACTGCATACTGTGCCTACCATGCTGGCCACTGAAACTGGGCTTGGTGGCACACACTTGTAATCCCAGTGCTGGGGGGCAGGGCTGAGACAGGAGGATCACTGTGAGTTCAATCTGGGTAGTAAGACCCTGTACTGAATAAATAAATGAATGAATAAATAAATAAATAATTTAAAATTTACAGAAAATCTGAAGATAGGATTTCCTTCAACTTCTTACTTTTGATGAAATGATGCAGATGTTCTTATTCAAGTATTACAGTTTAATCTTTAAAATAGTAAAAAATAAGATCCTAGGTGTTTTTGTCAGTTTTCCTACTTATTTGATGCTTCTATTTGGTACACAAAACACCTATCAAGCACATTATACCCAGAGTGAAGCTGTTGACTTTATTGTTTGGTCTTAATCCCAAGACAGAAGCCTAGACATCGTGTATTAACCTTCCCCTTTCCTCAGGCATGTCACACATTTAATGTAGCACAAATTGTGGTATTTGTAGCTCTGAAATGGAATCTGAATCCACCCATACACTTTTATCTCTCCTGACACCACCTTTGTGCTGGCCACCACTATTTCTTGCCTGAACTTATACAGGACTCTTGTCTGGTCTCCCTGCTTCTATTCTTACACTTTTCTAATTTATTTTGCACGAAGCAGCCTGTATGATCCCTGAAACCCATAAGTCAGGTCATGTCACTAACCACATTAAATCTTTCAGGGGCCTTCCAATTCCTCCTAGGATAAAGTCTGAATTGTGCGGCTTACTAACTCATGCCTATCTTTCTCAGCCCATGTGAAATGTGTTCACTTTCTCCCTGAGCAACCCAGCATCCTAGCAGTGTTACATAGGTCTGTGCTGCAGCCCCAGTGCTTTTCTGTTTTCTGTGAGCAAATGGAACTCTATTGACATGAAAGTCTTTTGCCTTTTAATTTACTTTTCCTTGTGTCTATTTTCTTCACATTCTTCACGTGGCTGACCTTTTCCTATTCTGTCGGTCTCATAAATGATACTTATGTAGTCTTTCCATACCTGTTATAACCAAGCTGACCTCTCTTAACATTATATCACCTGTTCATATTTTATTGTAGCAACACTCACAAGCTATAATTACATTTGGTAATTTAATATTTACTCACTTTTCTCATTCTCAATAGAATATAAACCCTGGAGCATTGATTAGCCATTTCTCTACAGAGTCTACTTTTTTCAGTGGGACACTGTATTTAGAAAACAAGACCTGTGAGGAGGTGTGCACATGGCAATGGGGACAGCATTATTTCCAATTCCTCATAGTGGATAAAGCAGGATTTCAACATGTATCTATGTCTCTGTATTATCACTAAAGTCATAGCCTGAATTCTTTAAAAAATTCAACAAAGACTATAGAAGTGTTCCACATTAAAGGAGACAATAAGACATCATGTTTACTTTATAAAATTTTATTTTATTTTTTCACTTTACCGGTACTTGTTTTCAGCACGTAATGATTATATGCCTTTACAGAATTGGTACATGTGCATAAACACATTTAAACATTATGTTTGAAATTAATATGCCATTTTGAATTGATCCTAAATTGGAAAAATGTTATGATATTTTATCAATAGTAGATTATTGATAGAATGGCAAGCTTTGAATACAGACCGTGGATTAGGTAATAATATTAGGAAAATGTTAAGTGTCTTGATTTTAATGATTGTGTTACAATTAAGCATAGAACATTCCTTGTTCTTAGGAAATATATAATTAATCATTGGGGTGATTAATTAACATTATCTGCAGCTCACATCCATTGTTCATCTCCCCACACATCTGTAACTCACATAATTCTCTGCAACTTCATCTACTAAGAAGATAATACAGGGACTGGGGGTTCAATCCCAGGGCCTGCCATGCCGGCTCTGCCCCCAGGGAATGCTGAGCCAGCAATTGAGACTGGGTGTGGTGGCATGTGCCCGTAATCCCAGCTGTTGGAAGGCTGTAAACAGGAGAATCACTACGAGTCCGATCTAGTAGCTAGACCCTGAATACCCTGTATACCCTTCCCTAAACAAACAAACAAACAAACAAACAAAAAGAAGATAATAAATTACAAGCAAATGAGAATAAATTACTAGTAAATGAGACAAGATAGAAATAAATGCATATGAATAAAGGCTATATAAGAGATTTTGGCTTGCAACTTTTTCCATAGGCTTATATTTGAAAATAAAAATTTAAGAAGAACCTGTTCAAAAGAAAATCTAAGCTGTGATGGGAAAAGGGGAAAGGAAGGAAGGAAGGAAGGGAAAATTTTTAAAAAGTAGATTTATACATGATTTGTAAGACAGTTATACAGCTATTTTCATTTAGTTCATTGAAAAGAAGAATTGATGTTAATTTTGTTTAGACAAGAAATCATATCTGTGCCTCTTACCTGAATGAATTCTATGAAGATAACAATACGTAATGTATTAATTATTGCAAGTCTCACACTAACACATTTTGAAACTGTTTTATAGCTTTTATTCCCTTCCAGCTAAAAAAATAAGAAATGCATAATTATTTTTCAAATATATACTGTGTTTAATGACACTCCCTCAGATGATTTAGGAATGAAATGACATATTTTCTTTACCAAGTAAAAAGCAAATAGCCTGAGCTGAGGAGCAGTACCTAAAACATGCAAAACAGAATTTTTCACAAAAGACAATAAAAATAAGATTTTTAAATTCCCTTTTTCTTAATTGAATCAACTTTATTTATAACTGATTTATTCACCTTTTAATAGCTACCCATGTATAACATCACTGACAATAATATTATTGCATGCATTTTTTTTTTGCTGTATAGAGAAAATCTAAACTGCTTAAACTTGCCTAAAGCAATTTCAAAATGACTACCCAAGTGACTTCTCAAATTCTTAAGCTATTATCTTTCTTGTTCAAATCCTTTTTCTAACTTTTTCCCAATTACTCCAACCATATAATTGAGAATCTGGTTCCTATAGACTGTCTCTATCAGTAGATCGGGAAGAGGAATGATAAACCTCTTAACAAAAACTTAATTCTGATTCTCTTCCCTGATTAAGGTATCTTAGCAACCTGTGAAGTATGTTATCTGCCGATTCTATCAGTCG